ATATATATACACACACATATATATATATATATATATATATATACATATATATATACGTGTAGTATGGTCATACTAAATCTGACTAATCATAGGACACGCTTGCAATCATTATACCAGATGAAGTAAATTTCGTCCCAGCTTATCCAAAATTGTTCGTTTGGCGTTGGTCTGTGAATCGCTTTCGTATTTCTCGCCGCCAATCTCGATAACATTACTCAGGGCCAGGCGTGTACCCGAAAAGTTTCGCAAAGGACCGGCCCGCAAACCCGAACTACGAGACAGTTGGCCTGTGGGATATTTGCGTAGGGTTTCGGGGTTACAGTGTATCTCATACATAAAAAAATAAATTGGGTTCCTCTGCTAATCTTCTATTGAAACATAAAAATGCAAAAGTCTTTAAGGTTCACCAACAATTGATATTTGGTTAGAATGTAGATTTATTTACTAATATGATATAGATTGATTCACTACATATATAATTAAGATCTAGATTGATTCACAATTATATATAGATTTATTCATAAGTAGGATATATATTTATTCACCATTAAGGTATCGATTTATTTACTATTAAAATATAGATTTATTCACTATTAGGAAATATATCTATTCACAGCGCTATATGAAACCTGATATAATACATCTGGCTTTGGGACTCAAGCCCTGGGTGTCTGGGACCATCTAGCTCAGAGTGAGAACCGAAATGCTCTACCAAGCACACGTCGCCAGTTGTAGTTGTAGTGTGCGAGTGCAACATGGAAATGGTCCAAATATTTAGATATGATCAGCAATCGGTCTTATGAACAAAACCGAAACACAGCACCTCCGCAGCATGCTATGCAAGCCCGTTGACTTGAGTAGTGTCCGGTGTGTACAAACCTTGAACCGTATGTGGCCGTGGTTACACTCACATACAGCTTTATCTATATAGTGCACATCGGTTTGTTAGGTTGGGCATTGTATACGATATGCAGCGACACCTCCAACAAATGTTTATCAGGGTTGCTGTTATTGGTCCTGTAGTTAGGAGCAGTCAACGTATATATATATATATACATACGTGTGATGGCTAGGGTAGGTGGAAGCAGTCC